TTTTAACTAGCAACTTGAATGAGGCAGTTTAGGAGATGGTCTGAAAACTCTTGGAATATCTATTGTTTGCTTCTCTTGCAGAGACATAAAGAATACATGAAGATGTTGAAGGAGAGAGAAGAAGCCTTAGGTAAGTATCCTATTTGAAGATGTAACCTAGCCTGGAATCCCATAATGAATAAGATGACAACTTAGAGAACAAAAGACTGTTTCATACAATTTGTCTAAAATGAGGGTAAATAAATATGAATCATGAGTCAAACCATATCTTCATTATGAGTTTTGAAACATTTGATCTCTTTAATGAATTAGTTTTTCTACTCTATAGTCTTTAGCACACTTTTACTAAGTGTTATTTTCTACACTACTCAGTGTGACTATGTTTAGGCCACTGCTGTTAATCACAAACAGTTGGAGGGAGGTTTAGTGTTGATTTTTTTGTTGTTGTTGTTGCACTGTATAAGCTTTCAGTCTTTAGAAGAATGATTACCGTATGGACTTTCTGCTGATCTGAGGTGGTGTTTTATGAATTTGTCTAGAAAAGCGATGGGATGAAGAAATAATTATAAACTTATAGGGATAAAAAGTCACTAAATTTGTTTAAACTTGTAGTGATGAAGATTGGAAGACATTTTACTATATTCCTATCTTTTTTCTTTTTCCTATTTACTCTTTCTCTGCTCATTAAGTAGATTTGTATTATAATCAAATTCATAGAATATATATATATATAAAATGAAAGATATTTTCGTGGTATCTGACTCAAATGAAAAGATAGAGAAGGTTGTCAAGATCTGGTTAAAGATACGTATGGAGTTCTTTTTTGATACTTGAAGCTTGACCATTGGTGGAATTGTGTAGTAAATAGTGATGATAATGTAGCAAATACAGATAACAAAAGAACCTACTTCAAGGATTATTTTCATGTTTCATTTCTTAAAATATTCCTGTTTAAAGTTATGGAGATGAAGACATTAATTGTTGTTCAACCCACATATGTAAAGAAACAATAGAATGTAATGGTAGCAGGGCTGAAAGGTCTAAGCTTAAAGAATTCCTTCCATAAGGTTTTCATTTAGAACAGGGGTCCCCAAACTGTGGGCCGTGGCCTATTCGCAACCAGGACGTGAGTGGCTGGCTGATGCGTGTGCATGCATGCACACATGCATTGCAAGCATTTGGGGCCTCACTTATGCAAGCATAATGTGTGCTCTTGGCCCCACTCACGTGAGCAACAGGTGCTCATACATGAGTGTGCGTGCGCAGTCGCCTGCCCCTCCCACAAAACCATCCGGAGAAAGGGGGGAGGGGGACGAGGTTCCTAAATCTTGTATCTACGGTAAGAAGTTGTCTAACTAACTTCTTTGACGGAAACGTGTTCTTTAATACCGACAATAAAGTAGAAGAGTCTCCTTCGACTACTTAACCTTGTAGATCACTGTAGAGCTTGTCTTAGCTACTCGATACTAGTGGGTTTAGTATGACAGTGACATACTACCATCAGTGACCTGGACCTTTCTGGTGATCGTGTGCTGGGGCTAAATGAGGTAATATATCTGTTTTATTAACTTGTTTATTCACTTGTTAATTTAACAAAAAATATTTATACTGTATGTATTTTTTATATGGCTGCCTAACTCACAAATTCAACTGGTTGGCTAACATAGGTGTTAAAGGCAGACAAATGAACAACAATAGGAGGGCCACAGCATGCAATATAAACTAGAGTAGAATAGAATTCTTTATTGGCCAAGTGTGATTGGACACACAAGGAATTTGTCTCCGGTGCATAAGCTCTCAGTGTACATACGAGTAATAGTGATAATCATGATCATATACAACATGAAAATACATTAATCATAAATCGTGAAATACAACACTTCATCATAAATTATAAGATGCAACACTTAGTGATAGTCATAGAGTACTAGCTAAGCAAACAACATAAATCATACTAGGATACTAAAAAAACAATATAAATTGTAAGATACAAGCAGCAAAGTTATAGTCAGAAGGATAGGTAATAGGAAAGATGAGTATCATAGTGATACAGCTTTACTAACTATTTTGACAGTGTAGGAATTAGTTGTTAAGCAGAGTGACGGCATGGGGGAAAAAACTGTCCTTATGTCTAGTTGTTCTGGTGTGCAATGCCCTATAGCAGTGATGGCGAACCTTTTAGAGACCGAGTGCCCAACCCCCCCCACCCCCGCTCCGCCTCCCGCCCTGCTGGCTCCGCCCCCACCTGCCCCCTGCCCCGCCCACCTGCAGGGACACGCACCGCCTCCACAGCTGGCTCAGGAATTCTGGGAGTTGAAGTCCACGAGTCATAAAAGAGCCAAGGTTGCCTACCCCTGCTCTAGCCGGTGATATTTTTAAGAGTTTTCCACATATTTGCTAGTTCATTTGTTGAGAACTGACTCCCTAGCTTTTCAGAGTAGCTTCTTTTTGCTGCTCTGATCTCCCTTGTTAATACATTTCTGGCCTGATTGTACAGCATTCTATCTTTTTTTCCCTGTAGGCTTCCTCTTTGGCACGACATAGTTGCTTGAGTTTAGCTGTGAACCAGGGCTTATTGTTACTGTATACTGTATTGGCAAGTTCCTGGTTGACACACATAGGTTTTCACAAAAACTAACATATGATGTTACAGTGTCTGTGAGTTCATCCAAGTCTGCAGAGATATCTTCAAAAACTTTCCAATCAGTGCAGTCAAAGCAAGCCTGTAGCTTCAGCTTTGCCTCCTCAGTCTAAGACTTCACTGATTTAATTGTTGGTTTTGGGGTTTTAAGCCTTTGTCTATAAACATGTACACGGTGGATCATACAGTGATCAGAGTGTCCCACAGCTGCTCGTGGTTAAGACCGATAAGCATCTTTTAGTGTTGTGTAGCAGTGGTCTAATGTATTCTTGCCTCTAGTGAGACAGTTGAAGCACTGGAAGTATTTTGGTAGCTCTTGACTTAAGTTAGCACTATTGATACCTAACACAATGAGGAGTGAATCAGGATGTTTTTCTTCAACCCACATAATCAGTCCGCTAGAGTTCGTAATGCATTGTTTACATAAGCTTGTGGCGAAATGTACACAGCAATTAGTAGAAATGAGGAAAACTCTCGTGGAGAATAAAATGGTTTGCAATTGATCATTAATGTCTCTAAGTCCACATCACAGAATTTCTTTAGTATAGTTACATTTTTGAACCATCGGTTGATATAAAAGCAGAGACCCCCCCTCCCTTCTTTTTATCGGATGTTTCTGCAATTCTCTCTGCCCTCTGTATCTGAAACCCTGGGATATGCAAGCCTCTCTCATCAATTAAGCCAGGTTTCAGTGAAGCAGAGGGCTGCTGAGTTGTAAAAATCAGAGGTGATCTGATGGCACAAAAACATAACATCTCAATATCCTAAACCTTTTTTTTTCAACAAGCTCATCCAACATCTTAATTGGGGTGTACATGTGTGTCAAGTTTTTAAGTCTTACAGATATTCAGCGCTTTCCAGATCTCGGGGGACCTGCTATTCCAAAGCGTAGGAATGTGTGCCTCATATATCCTTTAAGTAGCGTTGTTTCTTTTTTGAAGGGACTCAAAGCACTCTCTTTCTGTTGGATTTTGTGGAATGGGCAGCTATCCGTAATAGGTGGTTCCTCAAATAACCCAACATTGAGCCATAAACGGCTTTATCAACGAAAGCCAGGATTTTGAATTGCATCCAGAAGCTGATAAGTGAGTGCTTATGTAGTGGTTATGTAGTAATCATGATCATGGTACATCTGGATTGCCAATGTTAGACCCATATACAGTGTGTAAGACTAGTCTATTTGGGAGGTACCATGGGTCCAGCAGGATTTTCAGATTGCTTAGCAATTCTGCCTAGGGAGTGCTATCCCATCCAGAGTGAGGTGTGGGGAGAGAGAGTAAACAAGCCCACAGCTACTCAGTTTTGTTTGGGTTAAGCCAAAGCTTTTTCCTCCCCCATTTAAACCCCTAAGGCCACCAGACACAGAGAATCTGAAGGCACTGTTTGGTCAGCTTAGAATAGAGATGGAAACATACGTACCATTAGCATACTGACTAATGATACTTAACCCCATGGCAATGGATAAGCTCACTCAGAGATGTGTTGGAAAGTAACTTGATTTTAAGTTTCTAATCCAGACTGCCATCAGGAATCAACATTAACTGGGAGGCACAAAAATAAAATGTGAAAAAGGGGCCTGGAAGAAGAACCCAAAATTGGCCGGCATCCCTCAGTGAGGAGTATGGCTCAGTGGGTATTAATCTGTGATCTCCACAGCCATAGTCTGACAGTCTAATCACGATTCTACACATTTCTCACATACATGTATTTGTGCAACTAAATATACGAGATCTTAGTACTTTAGTATGAATGTAATGCCATTTGAGCTGTTATTCTCAAAGTTTATGGAAGGGAATAGTTTGCCTGAATCCAACTAGAAACCAAATTCTGAACCATATTTTATGGATTACAGTTCACTACAGTGCTAAATGATGGATGCTAAGTTTTGGTTCTACACGTTTGGTCTTGGTGTTGATAGCTACTATTCTTTAAAGTGTTAACATTTAATTTGAAATGTTAATATTTTGCTTAGAAAATCAAATCGTGTTTCTAGTTGCATGTCTAGATTTCATTGTGGGGTTCATTATTTGCTCACGTGCCTTCTTTTTAGAAAGAAAATACTGACCTGGAAGCAGAAGACACCTTGAATACATGTACATTGCCTAAGAAAGCTAGAGATCCTCTTCTGTCTGAGAGGTATTACAATTGTGTGACTTACTTTTAATTACCGAATCATTCAGAATGTCCCATCTGTTCTCCCAAGATTTGCTTAGAGATTATTCTAACATTGAGTGGAGAGTAAACTCCATTGAATTTAAAGGAGTTTTGTTCTGAGTAGACAGATATGGGATATGCTGTCAACTTATGTTAGAAAGAAATAGTAGAAGTAAGTATGATACAGTCAGGGGGAAGCGGGCATAGAGTGAAAGTGTTATTTATGTAAAGATATTACTGGCTGAGTTAGGAAGAAATGTGACTGAAGAATCTTCTCTCTGCTGGTTCTCTCTTATGGTATTCTTTCCTTAGAAAGTATACTAATACTCCTACCCCTAACCTTTTGCCTGTGTAAATATATTTTTCCCACCCGGCAAATGAGTTAGTTTTTTAGTCTTTTTAAATACGTTGGGATTTTTTTTTTTACAGTTCTAATTCTCCCTCTAGTTCTAAATTTATTGCTGCAGAGTTTATTTTCTCAGTATGAATTGATTTGTTATCTCTCAATAATGCTGCATTTTGTATTGTTTTGTTTAACTTTTATAATCTGCCCAGAGAAATTCAGATGTACAGTTTTTTTAAGGCATGTAAAAATAAAATATGAGAAGAGGACTGGCAATTCTATAAATAAGAGGAACATTCAAGTCAGAATTATTCCAAGGAGACTATTTTTTTTTCTTATCTGTTTACTGTCTATCTTTAGAGCTCAGAATTGTCTTTAAATATTTAAAAGATCCTAAAGCTGGCTGGACATACATAGCTCTGAGCTGTGTTTATAATCATGATTTCTTGAATAAACCACTATAATGCCCTTGACTAATGACTATTTCATTTTATGTCTGTTCAAAGCTCCAATGGCTTCAGAAAAAGTCACAACCTATACTTGCACATATGGCCATAGCACCATCTCCAGAGTCGTGTTATCACAGTTCAGGAGCTTGGCAGTCAGTTCATATTTATGACCGGTTGCAGCATCCTGTGGCACATTAATCATGATTTGCAACCTTTTTTTGCTAATTTCCAGCAAAAAAAATGCCCATTGAGAAAGCTGGATTTGCTTAACAACTGTGGTGATTTGTTTAACAACTGCTTAAAAATTGTTGTAAAATCAGATCCAATTTGACTTGTAACCTCAACTTACGACAGAAATTCCAGTTCCAATTGTAATTGTAACTCAAACCACAGCAGCTATGTTGACATAGCATATAAGGCCCCAAACCAGCCACAATAGTATATAGGGGCTTTTCCCCCATGCAATGAGATCTTTGAGGAATTGAAGTCCAGCATATCATCCTATGGATGAAGTTTAGTGCAATGGAGAAAACCAGCGGCATAGTCCTATCAGGTGTTCCATGTTGCCTAGATCAGTTATTACAAGAAGGTCTTATGGATCTTTCCTGGTGCCTCAATGCCCTTGATAACATTAAGTCTCGCGTCTAGGCAGCTTGAGACCCAGAACTCATTAATGTTACCAATCAAGTTGTATAATGAATATCCTCAATAGAGGAGAAAGACAAGCATCACAAGGAGAAAGCAAGGAACATAGGTAAGGGTGAATAAACCTGAGAACTAAAAGCTGGCTTGTATTTTTTAAAACTAAGAAACAATCATTATTTTCTTCTCCTATCAACAGAATTTCTTCCCTCACTGCTTCTCTGCATTCCCGTAGTCAGAAAAAGAGGAAAAGAAAACAGATCAACCACAAACAAGGAGTAAAGAACAGAGGCCAAAAGATAACAGGACGAACAAGCAAGACCCAGCGCCGGAAAATGACAGGCAAAAGGAGACATGTCCAAGACTGAAAGGCTGACTTGGACCGTTAAACTGCTAATTGGCTTGGAGAACACAGTCTTCTGCTCAGGATTGCAGAAGAGAGGTGATAGTTGGTATTCCAGGAACTAAGAAATGTTGAGCCTGTACAAGCAAGACTAATCTTGGTTTGTGTAGGTCTCCTGCTGGGAAAGACCTCTCTCATTACCTTCCCTTATTTCGGTGGACAAAGACTTTTTTTTTCAGAGATAAATTAAATCCCTGATTAATATCATGTTTCCCAAGATTGGGGAAGGCCACATTTATAATTGTATTCTGGTTCTTATCTCCATACAATATCATTTCATGTATTGGATTCAGAAATAAAAACAGGTATAAAAGAGTAGCCATGGACAACCAGGTGTTCTCAACTTGTTGGGACAAACACCCAAATATTGTGCAACACATCTGTCAAGTATCAAGTTGGGTAAGGCTGGCACAGATAATAGCAATATTTTCTTCTTGCACATTTTTTTTACTATTATTCATGTTAATTCTCATCTCTTGATGAGGAAACATATTTGTCATAAATTTTTGTGACATTTTCAAACAATTACACCACTACTCATAAACAAGCATTGAAGATAAAAGTAGCTGTTAACTTTTTGAATTTTTTTTGCTCTCGTGGCAAAACATAGAAGCTGCCACCATTCCCAGAATAACTTGTTGGTGCTCACAGGAAATGAATCTATGGAAATAGTGAATCCCTATCTCCACTTAAAAGTCCCGTACTTGATCTATTAGCTGTCAGAGATTTTTTTAAATCTCCAAATGGATCCAAATGCTTTTTAGGTGGATCCATAACTCTTCATTTTATTTTTCGTTCTGAAAAGTCCCTCTCCCAAAGGGTTGGCTCTGTGTCTGAGCATCATTTAATTACAGTACATTTAAATGTTAGGGCTTCTGTCAATAACATTTTTAATTCCTGAATTAGATTTCCAGATCAAGAAAATTTATTGGATGTACTTTTTTGCCCATCCAGCAAAAAGGAGAGGAGGCAGGAAGAGGATTTTCTGTATTATGTTCTAACAGCAGCCTGGAAAACTGGGGAGAAAGCCAATACAGATGCTGTTGCTTGTATCCTGGCAATAATCACGCCAAGCCAAAATATTTCTGATCTACTTATAATTGGTAACAGAGCCCAGAACAACAGAGAAATAATGCATTATGATGGTGAAAACAAAGGAAGGGAAAGAGGGAGAGGTGAGACCTAGAAGTCAAGCTGTATATGTGTCTTGTGGCCTCAGTCATGTGAGGACTTTGAAAGGCAGCACTTGCTGGATAAAGTATTTTTGCTCCTTCTCTTTGAAGGGTAAATGACAGAAACACTAGGTTCATGGGTGGTTTCCTCTTTGGGTGGGGGGGTGAGGGAGGAGGGTATGTTTTCTGATTTCTCAGCTATTGGAAAGCCCTCACTCAATAAATGGGATGATACAATCTTTTAAAGAAGACACTTGCATACCCAAATCCAGCTTTGGCAATTGTGCGAATTTCTATCCTACACAGACTGGCATAGCCTAATGTCAGTATTCCACGCACAAGGAACCTTTCGTTTGGATTGCTGCGATGAATTCTTCATAAAGCTATCTTGAAGTCAGCCCCAAAGCTGTAACTGGTGCAAACTACATCTCCTAATGGTTAAGAGGGGAGGATATAGAGCCCCTATCACGCTAGTCCTGAAAGTGTCACACTGGTTGTGATTACTGGACTGTACTTCAGGTGCTGAGATTAATTTGTAAAGATCCAAGTACTTAAAAGAATACCTCCTTTAACACTGTCCAAATTTGCATTACAATCATGTGGGGAGGCCTTGTGAGGTCCTGTTAGTGGATTTGGTTAATAGTATGATGGCTATCTTTTTGTAAATCTTGGAAAATCACTAAGGCAACCTCTGCCCATTTTATGCTAGCAATCTGCTTCCCTTGACCATTCATTGGAGTTGGTGGTGAACCCTACAGTGAGTGTGTCACCCTCCAATGTCATGTTGGAACAGAGAATTGAATCATGCAGTTCATCGCCAGGAACCTGGTGGTGCCTCGCTTATATTGGATACTTAATATAAAATGATTAACTGCTATGTCTAAGTGGACTTTGGTCATGCAAAATACTCTAGGATTAAACATAGTAGAAACAAGCATCAGAAATGAATTGTTAGCAGGAATATCATCTTGGAACTATTCCCTCAACACTTTAAACCATACAGGCAACCCACTGTCTCTAGCAAATATGGTTAATGGGAGTTAGTCCAAACATTTGGAGACCAGGTTGCTAACTGCTCTGAAGTACAAACAACTGCCAGATAGCTCAGCCCCACTTCTATAACAGGGATTGCAGGAAGGAGAAACAGACAAGTGGGAGGAGGGATTTAGAGAGCCCTGCTGGATCAGACCAATTTCAGCATCTTGTATTATTCCATCAGATGTTCAGTAACGAAGACATGAAGTTTATTATTAATATTCTCACTGTTTTCCAGTGGATAGCATTGAATGGGTGGTTACCTTTGATCCTAATTTCCAGAGAGCATATGTACCTTGACGTAGAATTTTTGCATTTATTCCCTGCCGCCTTTGAAGATTCCCCCACCCCATTAAATGAATGTATAGACCATTCTCTATCCTGATGCCATCCAGATGTGTTTGGATTCTGGCTTTAGAATTTTCAGCCAGTATGACCAAGATGTATGAAGGAAGATGCCAGACTGGAGATGGCTGCTACAATGGTTGGTATTCTTAGATGAGATTAAGTTCTAATGTGGCTGGTTTGATTTTGGCTTTGTTTGTAGTATGAGCAAATACTTAATGGTGGAATTGCTTGTAATGTTTTATGACTAGGTATTTTTCTCTCTGCTACTACAGCCTATGATGGCAGGGTTTATCTTCATTTGGCTTGCTACATCTGGGGACCATCCATAATTACTGTAAATGTACTTAAATGTGCAACAGATTAGTTTTTCCTACTAATAGGCAGAAGAGTAAGCTTGGGTGGTCTAGAAAGAGATGCTTAAGCTTTGTTTTAATCAAAATTCCCCTTGTGCAGAAAGAAAAGAAACATAATCCTGATTAATGAAGATCCAACTAGAGACACTTAAGAAAGGTTTCCAAGGGAGAGACAGATTGAGAGAAAACGAAGAAGATATTGCTAAATTATAATAATGCTAAATTGTACATGAGAAATGAAAAAACAAGACTTATGAATACTGAGATAATTGCAATAAAATCTACCTTGTCAATCAACTTAGCAATGTATTGGGGATTGATTTATATCCTGATTCAATGAAGATGGTCTCATTTGTTCTGGAACTCATGGGGGCCCACATAGTGCTTCCTCCTATCATTTTTCATCATAAGAATCACTCCGTGAGATACATCATATTTGAAGTTTGTACTGAGGGGCTTGGTCAGGTTTTTCATTGGGAAGGTTGAGGTTAGTTGAGATGGCTCTTTATATTTAAGATTTCTATATTACACACCACCCAGGTTGTTTTGAGAGGACATTTTGTGGAACAAAATCTAAATGCGCATATGCCTACAATAAACAGTACTGTGTGCCTAAAAGGCTACAATGCTGGATCAGTAGCAACAGCATCCTTGCCAAAAATACACTTTTGTGGTAGAGTTGACCTAGAGCAGGATCCGGCAAAAGTTGGCACATACTGTCATGGAAAAGGGAGATTCCAAAGATGCTATAACCACGGCAAAAATCAAGAAAATACCCTTCATGCGATGCGGTGTCAAAACATGTGCCATTGCTTAAGTACGCTATTTCGCACTTTATCTCCTTATAGAGGTGAAAAGACCGAAAGCGTTAAAGAAAATAATGGTTTGCAGGAAAGCAAGCGTGTTAACACTGACAGAAAGCCTGAAGGGGAGAAATCAGTCACACACCCAACCACTCTGCAACGCGGGTTGTAATAAAATATTGGGGGAGAGGTGGCGTCTATTTAATTGCAAAAACACCGTAGCCGAAAAAGTTCCAACTCAAAAACTTTCAATATCGCCAGAAATTTCATTTGTTGCTGATCGGCCCACCCCACTGAGACAATCAATTGAGATAGTACATTCAAATGAGTGTGGTCCGTGCAGCCAATGGAAAGGAGGTTAGTGGGTGGAGTCTTGATCCACTTCCTCGGAGGAAAGTTTGTATTCATAAAAAAAGGTCGGTGGTTGGAAGAGTTCTAGTTGTAACTAAGTATAGGCGTGCGTAGTAGGAGTTGCATTCTCAAGGTGCGTTTTTTTCCTCTATACTCTGTAGTGATACTTTATGAGCTTGCTATTTTCTAGTCACAAGTTACTTATAGATTAGTATTAAAAACTATCCAATTCTTAATAAGATGGTATTATTTTATTTAAATTTTCAGTAGAAAATTTACATTTTCCAATTGTTGGTAATTGTTGATATTTTATTTTCTTCAGTTGCAGGCAGAAAGTGAATTATTTAGAGGTTGTGAATTTCTTGCAGGTACAATAAAATTTTCCTCTATTAGTAAGTTCCAGAATAGTTTCAAGTGACTGTGCTTGATTTTTATGTGTTTCTAAATGTATTGCATGATAATTTAAAACAGTGGAAGAAAAGGGGGAAAAATCACGTAAGGAAGCATATAAAAAGAAAGATGTGCAGCAGACATGGATTATGAAATTTGAGTCTTTCCATGATATGCATTGTAAAAAGCATTTCTAATTTTCTTTCTAAAAATTACCGTTGACTCCTAAGTTGTGCTAAATTCTTAAGTCGGGTTTCTAATGAATGAGCAGGAGCTACATTTTGTCTGACAGGAAGAGAAACTACTTGTGTAGTTGTGTAGAGCTTATGCTGTGGAGTGTGTTTTTTAGTTATCTAAGAATTGGTTGATATAACTTCACGGTAGCATGAGTTATAGCCATTCCTTTTCTTGGGGGATGTTGTACCCTGATAATTTTTTTTCCTTTTTCAATTATGTCTGATTCTGTGAGACTGCCTGGACAAATCAATGCAGTTTGTTTGGCAAGGTTTTTCAGAAGTGGTTTGCCATTACCTCCTTCCAAGGGCTGAGGGAAAATGACTGATCCATAGTCGTCCAGCTGGCTTTGTGTCTAACGCATCTCCTGATTTCTAACCAAATGCCTTAACCACTACACAAACTGGCACTAAAAAGCACAGTAGGATTCATAGATTAATCACACAAATAGAATATATAAAAAACATAGAAGAAACTGAGATGGGAAATTAAGGATATAAAACCAATGTTATGTTTGAAATATAAAATGGCAAGGGCAGTTGTGTTTAATTAGTTCAGTCAAAATCATTTGACTTACATTTATATCCTCATGATCACAAATAATAAAAAATACAGAAAAGTA